TGAGATCAAGGTTAGCCTGGTCTACATAGTGAGTTCCAGGCTAGCTAGGGGTACAAGGAGACCCTGTCTCAAAAAAAAATACCCCCAAAAATAAATAAATAAGAAAGAGCCAGGCGTGGTGGTAGACGCCTGTAGTCCCAGTACTTGGGAGGCAGAGGCAGGCAGATCTCTGTGAGTTCAAGGCCAGCCTGGTCTACATAGTGAGTTCAGGTCAGCTGGGACTACAGGGAGACCCTGTCTCAAAAAGATTTTTTTAAATCTTTTTTTAAAATTTATTTTTATTTTACATGTATGAGTATTTTGCCTGCACATATATAAATGTATAAATGCACCACATGCTTGCAATGCCCAGAGAGGCCAAGAGATGGTGTTGGATCCCTTGGAACTGTAGTTATGGATGATTGTTAGTTGGCATGTGGATGCTGGGAACCAACCCAGTCCTCTGGAAGAGCAGCTAGTATTCTTGACTGCTGAGCCATCTCTCCAGCTCCTTCCTTTGAAATCTTATTCTAAGACAGATTTACTTTTTTCTTTTTTAGTATTAGGGATCAAACTCAGGACTTTGTGCGTGCTAGGCAGGCGCTCCACCACTGAGTTCCATCCCCAACCCAGTATGCACATTTTCTATTTTACTTTTTAGTATAAAAATATTTTGGGACTGGGGCTATGGCTCAACGATTGAGTGCATGGTTAGCATATGAAAAGCCCTGGGCTTGATCCACAACACAAAAGGAGGGAGAGAGGGAGGGAGGGAGGGAAGGAGGGAAGAGAGGAGGAAGGAAAGAAGAAGGAGTATAACACAAAGTTCCCATGCCAGGAAGATCAGCCATGATTATCCAAGGGAATTCTGCACCTCTCACACATACCTAGGCATGCCCTGCGTGCGTCCCGGGGATGCTGGATACTGACGAGAATCTGGGGCCTGTGTCATCTTTCCAGCCCTAGATCAGGTTAAGCTCATGTCTTGGCTTTGGCATTCAGGATGTGAAGTCCAGCTTCCATCTCTGCATGGTTGTTGACTGTCTCTAAGATGAAGAAACTACTTCCTGGCTGCCCTGTTTGCCTCCCTAGAATATAGGCAGGTACAAAGGGTGGCTGAGGGATCAAGAGGTCAGTTCATATCAACAGGCTGTGTATGCTGAACTGAGCTATACGAAGTTGTTATCTTCACAGGCAGCCCTCATAGTCCTGGCAGTCCTTTCTCTCAGGGCAGACCCATGCTTTTGAGACTAGCCCACCCTCCATTCCAACAGCACTTTCTCAGTAAGTGACCTCAAGAAGAGGCCAGGCTTCTGCTAGATGAAGTAGCAGGGAAGCAAACCCCATCTATGGCCCTCAGATGGCCACCATACTATCTGCCAGGCCCAGCCATCCATGGCCAGGGCTGTGCTGAGTCTTCTAAGGACGGGCCCTGGCTCTTCCCAGCATTCTCAGGAGCTTTGCCATACTGCCTGCTGCAGTTTCACCAGAGTCCCTGCCTGCTGTGCTCAGCTTTCCAGGCCCGACTGAACACAGATAAGTACTCAGTCCTGGGAAGGAGTTCTCTTTCAAGGACCTGACCATAGTTCCCATTGTCCATTTGGATGTAGGGCTGTTGTGTCCCTAGCCCTGGGTTGTTGTTTTCCAGCGTCTTCCTAGTTCCGTTCGGTTCTGTTCCTTAAAGCTTGGCAGAGAGACACTGGGAACCTGTGTTGAATCACATTCAGGTTGTTTATAGTTTTGAATATTATGAATAATATTGTTATAAGAATTCCTATGAACAAGTAGAAGTGCTGGCTCATACAATCACTCCATTTCTACCTTTGAAGGAACTGCCCAACTCTTCTCCAAAGCAGATGTACCGTTCTGCTGTGTCCACAGCAGGGTGCGAGGCCCCGCTCTCTCCATGCTCTTCCTGACACTTATCTGTTTCATTATGCATATCCTCGTGTGCACAGGTGGGGTTGCACTGTGGTTTGGCTAGCATTTTTGGAATCACTGACAAGGATAAGCATGTTTTCATATACCTATTGGCCATTCATTTATCTTCTTTAGAAAAATGTCTATAAATTGTTTACTTTTCAATGATTTATTTGCATCTTCTTCAATTAGAAGAGTTCTTTCTATATTCTAGATACTAGTCCTTGCTAGATAGATGATTTAGAATTTCTTCCCATTGTACTATCTTTGTACGTGTGTGTGTGTGTGTGTGTGTGTGTGTGTGTGTGTGTGTGTGTGTACAGGTACACTTGCCCATGCATGCAGGTGTGAAAGCCAGAGGGTGTCAGGAGGTGTCTTGGTGTCTCTCTATCCCTCTCCACCTTAGTTTTTGGAACAGGGTCTCCCACTGAACCTGGAGACATTGATTTGACTAGAATGGCTGGTCAGTGAGCCCCTGGGATCTGCCTGTCTCTGCCCCTCAGTACTAGGATTACAGGCACACTCCCTGTCATACCTGACTTTTATGTAGGTGCTGAGACCTGAACTCAGGTCCTTATGCTTGCAGAGCAAGCACTTCTATCCATTGAGCCATCTCCCTAGCCCCCTTCAAACTATTTTTAATTAATATTTATATGTGGTATGAGTCAAGGATCTAAATTTATTGCTTTGTAAGGGTAATATGCCACTTCATTGAATTTTCTTGGTGCCCCAAGCAGTCTGTATAGACTCATGCATTTATATCCAAATGCCCCATTCTGTTCCTTCATCATCATGTCTGCCCTATGCCAGCCCCATAGGCTGACTACCACAGCTGTGAAGTACTTTTAAAGTCAGAGAGTTCAAGTCCACCACCCTTGCATTTTAAGATCACTTTGTCCATTTCTGAAAAGAAAGCTGAAATTTCAGTAAGATTCCTTTGATGTCACAGGTCGGTTTGGTGGCACTGCCACATTACCAGCAACCAGTCTTCTTACCCACAAATACAGTTATTTTTACATCTTAGGTTTTCTTAATGGCATTCAATGCTGTTTGTAGTCTTCAATCTCTTTACTTCTTTTGTTAAATTTAACCCTAAGTATTTTCTTCTTTTTGGCATTATTATAAGTGAATCATTTTTGGTTGCTTATTCCTAGTATATAGAAATTCAGTTTACCTTTGCTAATTGCTCTCATTTCCTGCAAACTTCCTGAACTAGTTTATTATCATTAAGGGGTGTGTGTGTGTGTTCTTTAGGAATTTCTAGATTCAATATTACATCATTTTAATATACTTCCTCCTTCCTGGTTTAGATGTCTTTTTTTTCTTGCATAATTATTTTGGCTAGGACCTGTAGAACAGTGTTGGCATATGCAAACATCATTCCATGTTCCTAACCTGAAGGGAAACGCTTTCAGTCTTTAACCATGCAGTACAATGCCAGCTTTCTGTCTATGTCTTTTAAAATCTATTTCAGATAATGCTTATGTTTTAGTGCTTTCATTCTACCTGGTAACAGAAAACTCAAACAATAAAATAGAAAAGCAAAAAACCCCTCTCTGTTCTGCCACCTCTGCTACACTTCCAGGTTTTGTGTATGTATATACAAAACATAAGTCATTTTAAATAAAAATGACCTGTTTTGAGAGCTAGAGTTTGTTCTCCATTCCAAAAGTGGTTCATGATCATCTTCCCATGCAAAGTTCTGCATCATCATTTCAGAGCTGCTCGCATTCTACTGTAAGATTGAACTGTCATCCAACTCCCTCTCAGTGAATGGTTGCTCCCTTTTCTTCCACTACCGTACACAGGAGTGTGATGAACATCGTCTTCATACCCAAAACTGTGTGTTGCTAGGGCTTCTGTTTCTTGATTGGTAGGTAGGTTGGTTGGTTGGTTGGTTGGTTTTTTAAATCTTTATCAGATCATCACTATAGATTTTAGATCAGGGTTCAAATAAACGCCATCAGAATGGGTCCTCAGAGTACTGTGAATGAGAAAATAGTTTTCTTGTGAAAGGGACTGAGAGATGGTTTATTCTGGAGTCAGATATGAGTGACCATGGCCCAGGAACTTAGATTCGGGTTTCTTCAGATACTGTAGAAGAATCTCACATGAGATTTTTATTAGTTACAGAAGAAAGAAATTAAGTAAAAGTATTTACCAAATACATGGTGTGGGTTTCAGCAAAGCAGGGAAACTGCTGTAGGTTTCAGAGGCTCTGATGTTCTTAGCTTTGGGTTGGTGAAAATTAATGGTCTTCTAAGAACACATTGTAAGGTTTTGATGGTCACAAGCATGTTAGGTCAGACACAGGCGTGAGCAATGGATTTTTTTCAAAGACACTAAAAATAGCCCAAGATAATTTGGCCCTGGTCTGTAACATTTTAACTCTCTAGAGTTAAAGGTTCAGGCTTTTGGCCTCATTGAGTCCTCAGCAGAAGTGTAGCTTTCCTTCCCTTCCTCCTGCTCTCCCTCCCTCTCCCCTCCCCCTCCTTCCCTCCCTCCCTCCTTTCTTCCTCCTTCTGTCCTTCCTTCCTGGAGCTTCAGTTCATAGCACTAACTCTGGCATTCCCAACTTACTGTATGATCTTGGGCAAATCCTATTCTTTGGGTCTCCAATTTTTCATTCATATTTTGAGATTAGTCTAAATTCTTGGCTTTCAAACCTGGCTAGTATTAGAATCATTCAGGGAGTTTTAAAAACACAGCCACCAGCGTCTCCCACCCTCATCCTGATTTAACTGGTATAGAGTGCAACCTGGACAGCAGGGTTCTAAAAGCATCCTTGGGCCTGAGTGGCTGGGAGATGTTCTGTACTCCATATGTGGGGAGGAAGAGCTGTTAGCTGGGCCCTTGCTCAGACAGAGGCTGTATGGAGCAGTAGGCAGATGTTCTTGGCGTCCATCAGATCTGGGTTCGAGTTCCAGCTATTTGCTGTGTGTCTGTGTCCCTTTAACTTCTCTATGTGCCCTTGCTCTCAGAGCAGGCTAACATTCCCATGCACCGCTCAGGGCTTCTGTGTGGAGAGGAAGTTTAGGTAAAGCATGTGTATAATGAGTACTAATTATTGTTCTTCATCTTTTTTTTTTTTTTAACTAAAGAGCCAGCCCTTGGGCAATAAAGTGGAAATGGAGATCGTAAACATGTTGGAGAAAAATGCAACGCTCCTCAAATTCGGCTACCACTTTACCCAGCAGGGGCCCCGGCTGCGGGCATCTAATGCCATGATGAACAACAACGACCTCGGTGAGTGACATCTGATCACCAGCTTCCCTGCCCCGCCCACCCCAGCTGGATAAGTCAGGGAAAAGTCCACCAACACCCTCTCTCTCCAGAGAGGTTTATGGGGTCAAACTTGACTTCCCAGTGGCCCGCACCTGCCTGTTCTCTGTGTTTATGCCTGTCTCCTCTACCATTCGAGAGCTGTCTGCCTTTAAAAACAAGGCAGAGGTCTTACTTCCCTAAGCCCAGCTTAGCCCAGGCCAGGTCCAGCATGCAAGTCAGCATATTGGTCAGAGGGGATGAAAGTTGGGAGCACACAGGCTTAACCTGGGCTGGTCATCTTCTGAAGACCCTTCTCCAGATCACATTGTCTGGCTTTTAGCCCCAGTTCCAAAGCTTTCAATCAACACTACTCCTAAAACCCACAGGCTGGGAGACTTCACATGACTTCCAAAGAAAAGTTACAAATTAGCACTTGCTTTCTGTTGCTGTGATAAACACCATGACCAAAAGCAACTTGGGGAGGAAAGGGTTTATGTCAGCTTATATGTTATAGTCCATTATGGAGGGAAGTCAGGGCTGGAACTCAAGACAGGAACTCCAGCATGGCAGGAACTTGAAGCAGAGACCATGGAGGATCGCTGTTTACTGGCTTGTGCCCCTGGCTTGCTCAGCTGCCTCTTATATAGCCCAGGCCCACCTGCCCAGGGATAGCACTGGCCACAGTGGGCTTGGACCTCCTGCATCGATTAGATATGTCCATAGGCCAGTCTGATCAATGAAATCCCTGAATTGAGGTGCCCTCTTCCCAGGTATGTTAAACTGACAACCAAGATTACCCATCACAGCAGACTTCATAGCAAAGTAAAAGCAGAGCGCAAGGGTAGGGGTTGTGTGTAGGGGGCTGCTTGCTGCACAAGCCTGGCAAATGGAATTCGATCCCAAGAACCCACATAAAGATGGAAGGAGAGAACCAACTATACAAAGTTTTCTGACCTCCACACGAATGCCATACACACACACACACACACACACACACACACACACACACACACACACTAATAATAAATAAAAATAAATTTAAGAGATGTAAAAGCAGGCCATGTTCCTTCAGTTTCCATTAAAGGCATCATTTGATTCTAAACAGAAAACGAAAACATCACGTCTCCTTTGGTGATGAGTGATATCTTGTAAGTGTTCAAGTCAACAGAATGAAAAAAAAATGGCATCAGTCTCACTTACTCCCAAGAAGCCAGTTAGTTGTTCATAAGGCCTCTGAGGGTGGAGTTTGCTAATTACACATTCCTGCTGATGCTAAAGAGAACTGGATGCGGTTTAAATCAAGCGTGACTGACAGGCTACAGGAGAGTCTGAAGAAACACAAGACAAGCAGAGGGTCTGCATTGTTAACTTGACTGATCATTACATTCAGCCCTGAGTTTCATAAAACCACAGGAGGAATAAGACAAACTAAATTTCATTACTTTTATTATAGAAGAGAAGGAGGCATAGTGAGTTTAAAAAGAAAGCTTTCTGGATCAAATGATGGAATCAAATGTTTTAAAGACAGTTTTCAGTGAGTTTGTTTTTTATCAAGTCCATACCTGCTCAATAGCCCAGAGGCTATTTGCTCATCACTTACTTCAGGGGCCACTTTTTCTAGAGCTTTGGCTCTATAAAATTCATTAAGAAAGATATCTCTGTCTTGGTTTATTAATGAGGTTCCCTTATTTGAAATAAGAACAAACACAAATAACTAAGATTCAAAATTATTACTGTAGGACAGAGGTGATAGCTAAACTGAATTGCTGGACAAGGCCAGCAATAACACTATAGGCCCGGCTGTGTCCTGGCTGCCAAATCAGTGGTTAAAACAGTATTATTTTGATAAGCAATATTCTCACATTTTCCCCTGTTACAAATTAAGCTTTTTATGTGTCCTCAGTGCCCACCACCTCAGCACTAACCAAGTTTGTCTTCCTTGGAATGATGGATGGGATGTCTTCTTTATCAGGAAAGAGCTCTTAGATGACCAGAGTCAGGGGTGCTGCAGGAAGATTCCAGAATCTCTCTGCATAAGACAGACAGGTTTTGAGAGTCAAAATCCAAATCATAGACCTAACTTTTGGAGGTCACTGTAGCAATCTCAAATGCTACAGATGAAGGGACTTTAAGTTCAGCCTCTACTTCCCTTCTTGAGAGACTGAAGCCTGGGGTGGTTGGGGTTGGGAGCCATGGCTCAGGTCATACCGGTTGTTACTGCAAGCACTTTCTGAGAAGCCTTGGTGCCAGGCTGTGCTGAGTGACATGGGGTAGCAGAGTCTGTTCTTAGATATGAGAAACCTTGCAACCTTTTAGGGGCAAAGACTCAAAGGCATGCTTAAAAATTTAAGAATGCCTACAAGGTCTGTGAGAAAGTGATTTATGAGGCCGTAAGTCATCTAAGCAAAGCACCCTTGGGAGGTGGGGCTTTAGCCAACCTGGAAAGGAAGAGATAGGTTGACAGAGAAGGTCAGGAGTCTACCCCACAGGAGCTCTAGGCAGTGGTAAGATCTAGAGTTCAAGGCCCAGCCTACAGGATGACAGAGACAGAAACCACTAACAGAGCTGGAGGAACTGTTACAGACTTTGACCTAGAAGGCAAAAAAGAATCGGAGTTCAAAGAGACTAAGGGAAAGAAAGTTAAGTCAATGGAATAGCAAACAGTATGTGGGGTGTTCATGGGAAGGGGCCTGGGTGGATCTTGGGGAGGTGGGCCCAAGGGCTTTAATACCCAGTTACTTTGCAGTGGGGGCAGGTGGGCAGTGGGAAGCATGATGATTTCTTGAATAGAGATGCCGGGATGACAATGACAACAGTGACCCCTGGTTACCCTGGAGAACTCTGTAGCTGCTCCCTTGGGGTTTCCCGCAGGAGGATTATCTCTTAACCACAGGCCACATTCACAGTACTAGGTGGTGATGTATAATTCCCAGCTTGAAAGGCAAATGTGTGTCCATTTGCTAATTTTCCTTCTGAGAACCACATCTGATTCTGACAGCATACTGGCTTCCCGCTGCTGGCCTGGGAGCTCCCTCCTGCTGTTCCTATGCTTCCCTGCTGGGTATTTTATCTTAAAAGCCTCCCGGTGGCCTCCTGTGGACTGTGGTCATCAGCTGTGCTGCAGCCCCCTGCACATACCCCGGAAGGGAACAGGCCTCTCCCTGGTCTCTCTCCTTGCCTCAGGGCTAGTCAGTGTCCTGGGGCTGGGGCCTCAGCGATGCCTGGGCCTGCAAGGTAGGTGGGCTCCTCCTTGTGGGGAGGGGTAGTGAGCCAGTGTCTCTAGAGGGAAATAGCCTGCGTGGTTGCATCTTTCGGTCCTTCCTACTCTGAACCTAAAGCTTTTTAGCAGACAGTGTTCTGTGAGTGTGTGCAGGGCCCTGGGGTATGGTGAGGTCAGGGCAGAGCCAAGCTGTTGCTTCCTATCCATGTCTTCCCACAGCAGTGCCTCAGATGACTCCTATCTCCATGCTATTTATAGCACAGGCCTGGCTAACAATGAATCTCGGGTCCTCTAAACCTGCCACCAGCAGGCACTCTCTTTACTTGACAAAATCTGAGCCTCAGCCTCTAAGTTAGGCAGCAGTGGAGGTGAGGATTGTAGTGGTGCAGAGAACAGCACACCAGGGAACATGGCTCTTTTGCCACATTCTCAAGGAAAATCTTTCTAATCAGCACCCCAGATACAGGAGATGCCAAATCAGCTTTAAAAACCTTTAATACTAAATTGATGAGTTTTAATTGTATAGACTTAGGAGGTAAAGTGATGTTCTAATTCAAGAACACCAAGTGGGATGATTAAACAAGCTAGTTAGCAGATCCACCATCTCAAATGCTTCTGTGTGGCAAGAACATTTGCAATTTACTTTCTTGGCAATTTTGAAATCTACATAACACATGCTGTGTGACGGTATCAAAAATAAAAAGAACCCCCACTAGAATCCTCCTGAGGTTGTCTGTCCTCTGGCCCTCCTCTCGTGTCCCCTCCTTCCCACTGTCCAGCCTGTGTACCCACTAGTCTATTTGTTGCTTCTCTCACTGTGTTTAGATTCCACTTGTATGTGAGGTCATGGGGATTGCCTTTCTGTGCCTGCTTCTTTCACTTAGCGTGATATTCGCCAGTTCCGTCCATGTGGTAGATGGCAGGTTTTCTGTTTATGAAGGTCAGATAGTGTCATGTATATATGTCTCATTTCTTTACTCATTGATAAGAGGCCACAATGGCAATTGTGAGTAGTGCAGAGATGGCCATGGGAGTGCGGCCATCTCCCTGATACACTGATTTTGAATGTTGGGGTAATAATACCCAACAGTGGAATTGCTGGATCCCGGATCAGTTTCTTCATGTTAGCCCAAAACCATCAAAGAAAAAGGTGCTGCTTCCCTCAGCTACCCCAGCCAGAACTCTAGGTGTCTCCTGGACGCTGCCCCCACTCCTGCCAGGCCCAGCTCCTGCCAGTCAGTCATCCCTCTGCCAGTCCCAACTCCAGCCTCTAGTTGAGTGTGCCACATTCCTCTGCAGCCCCTCTGCTTCCAGTTCCTGCAGGTAGGCACCTCCCAGCAGCACTCATCCCAAATAGCTCAGCCGCCTTGCCAGCTCCCATCACTCAACTCCTCCATGTGGCTCCCACATACCTTAATAGAAACATGGCACACACTGCGCCTGGCATCATTCTGAACACTTCCCATCTTACTTAAGCTATGCCCCCACCTCTGTCTGCTATTATTATGCCTTTTTTGTTTTTTAAGTAAAGACACAGGTTTGGGATAGGAAGCTACCCATGGGCCACTGGCAGGCCTGAGATTTGTTTCGTTTTTAAATATTTATTATTTTTATGTGTGTGAGTGTATTGCCTACATGTAGGTAAATGCACCCATATCGTGCAATGCCTGCGGAGGTCAGAAGAGGCTGTCAGATCCCCTGGAAGTGGAGTTATGGACAGTTGTCAGCTGCCATGTGGGTGCTGGGATTCAAACCCAGGTCTTCTGCAAGAACAACCAGTGTTCTTAACTGCTGAGCCATCTCTCCAGCCCCCAGGCTTTGGATTTGTACAGAGCATCTCATTCCAGAGCTTGTGCTTGCTACATCAAGCCAGGACCCCTCTCATGACATCCTGACAAGCCATCCCCTTGCCAGGCTAACCATCCATTCTATGTTGTCTGAGCACCCCCTCAAGTGACCCACCAACAAGCTCACGTTTAGATATATGTCCCTTACTTCCCCACCCTCTACCCTTGCATCCTTTGCAACTCAGCTGATCTACATCCTGCCCATCCTAGGACACTTGGACCACTTCCTTCATGCACCTCAGAGGCCTGCTAGGGTATCTCTAATGTTCTGTTAAGGTTATTGTTTGTTCAGTTTGGCCTCTGACATGCTTGGCTTCATCTTTGATTCCTGTGCTTGGCATACAACACTGTGCAAATGCTGAATTACACTAATGAGTAGAGAGTGCTTCCTAAAGACAATGTGAGCAAATGTTCATCTGACTACAAGTAGTAGAGAGAGCTCAGGCAGTTGGGCAGGGGAGCTGCTGACAGCTTGAGATCTTCTCTGGTTCTGATAGTAGCAAAGGTGTCTGAGGCTGTTGCCATGGTGAGCAAGGAGCCTAAAGCAACAAGCAAGATGCATTAGAGGCTTCTTGCTCAAACTTGCCCTTTGTGGCAGGTGACTCCCCTCTCTTAAACTATCATCAGAATGGAGAAGCATAATGCCGGAGTAAATGGGTACCCCTCTTTGTGAAAGCCAGTCCTCCAGAACCATGTACCCAGATCCAGCCTCATATACACAATGAGGGAGAGTGGGCAAAATCCCATTACTCCTGTATCCTCCAGCATGGGCCAGAGACCGAGGTTTGGGTCCTGGCTCTGCAGATGGCTCTCAGGAACCTTGGTTTTCTTCTCCAAGGGAAGTAATATGATTCTGTGAAAATCAAATGAGACAGGGAGGTGTAACCAAACTGTACTGAGGGAGGTACTGGGCTGAGGCTCAGGATGAGCCTTGAACTTGCTGTACAGCAGAGGCTGACCTTGAACTCCTAATGTTTTTGCTTCCAACTCCCAAGTGGTAGGATTACAGGTGTGTACCACCATGCCCAACCTATTCACTGCTTTCTTATATTAAGCAAGAAACATCACCTCTACCCTTACTTACCTGCAAAACGAAAATAGTAACATGGATTCCAGAACCATTAGAAGGGCTCCTCTTCACATCCCAGCCCTGCGGTGGATGGAGGATAACTTCATACCACAGAGGTACAACGACAGTCTCCAGCAAGCTCAAGCAAAGAGCTTGAAAAGCTGGTTTTGCGGAAACAACACACTTTGGACAAACCTCTTCTGTTTTTTTGTTCCGGCACAATTTCCAAGCTGTGTGACTATGATCACCTTCAGGAATTGGGCTGGATGGTGTCTTTCTTCCAGATTGCCTACCCCAATTTGTGTTCCTTTTCTTGATGTGGGGTGAGGGAAGTGGAAAGGGACCCACCCTGGGCATCTGTGTTCCTGAGACCTGCCCCCACCTCTCAGCCACGCCTGCATAGCACACCTCCTTATGGGTCTGCGTCACCTCTCTGGGTCTTCATCTTTCTTGTTGCAGCTCAGTGGCTCTGATCTGGTGGCTGCATGCCTGTCATCTCAGCTTGGGAATTGGAAGACATCTTTGGATAGATAGCAATGGTTACCTGTCTCTGCCACATCAGCAGCCCTCTCTGTTGCCACCTACTGGCTCCTTTCTCTGATCCTTCTTTCTTCATCTGCCACTACTACCTTCCAAAGGGGCCCTTTTGTCCCCATCAGCCCTAATCATTTTATAAGCTAGTAGCTGCTGTCTACAACTTCCTGGCTCATGGCTCCTATCTATGAATTTAACTGTCATGTGGATGGCATTTAAGCATAATTTTTTTGAAAAAAATTTATTTTTATGTGTATGAGTGTATTGCCTGCACGTGTATAAGTGCACCTGTGTCCTGCAGTACCCCGAGGAGAGAAGAGGATGTCAGATCCCCTGGAACTGGAGTTGTAGATGGTTGTTAGTCACCATGTGGGCGCTGGGAATCGAACCTGGGTCTTTTGCAAGAACAGCCAGTGCCTGAACCACTGAGCCATCTCTCCAGCCCTAACCATCAATTCTTAATCCAAGGAAAATGTCACAAACATTAGGGGGCATGAAACCTGAAGGTAATCTTCAAGGTAAAAACTGTTCACTTGGGAACAGGCCAGCAGCTCCCAGAAAGCTAGGGGAAACATTTCCACAGGGTTAAAAATCCCAATCCTAAAACTGTCTAAAATTAACTGTTATCAGATCCAGTCTTCAACTGTGAGGCCTCTGTAGGCAAAGGAAAACTGTGTAACTTTAACTGTGTGGTCAGCCACTTTGAAGGGATTTGTGGATGTGTCTGCCCCACCATAGACCCTCATCAGTAACTGGGCATAAACTAGAGGTGGCTGTGCAACCCACACGTAACTGTCCTTGAAAAGCAGACCCTGACCTCGCTGGAGCCAACAGTGGCTCCTGACCATAGTGGCTCCTGACTGGCAGGGACAGCTGGGTCACATCTCATCTCCATTCCTTTGCAGTGAGGAAGAGGAGGCTGGCAGACTTGACGGGGCCCATCATTCCCAAGTGCCGCAGCGGTGTCTAGTGTACATGGGGAAGGCCACACCTTTGAACTGGACGTGTTCTACTGACAATCTGTGTTCCCCAGTGGAGGCCAGGAGGCAAAATGCTGGCACAAAACTCTTGTGGTTCAGTTCTTTATGCACTAAGGTTTTAGGTTAGCTAGTGGTTGTAGTTGAACCTTTTATAAAATATGGTTAATGTGAAGTTTTTCTTTAGTCACAGAAATTGATTATTATTTAAAACAAAGAAGCCCTCAAACTGGCAGATCTTACTGCTGATGGCATGACAGTGGCAGTGACAACCCAGGAACCCCTTTGGTGGCCTTGCTTTGGTGTTTCAGGTATGTTTACAACATGGAACTTGTCAACAAATAGCATTCTTCAACCTGTTTGGAAGTACTGTAAAACACTTTATTACAAACTCCATCTTAGCTACTTAGTTAAAAGAAACAGATAATCACATTCTATTAACCCTTCTTTAAATTTTAAGACCATCATGATTAAAGTTGCCAGATTGATTACAGGATCAAAAAACATTTCCCCCTCAAGAATAACAGACAAGGTACAGAGCTCTGCCAGGAATAAAAAACACAAGATTTCTTCTACTGGATAAAAGAAAAAAAAAATAGAAAAAGATAGAAATTTCAAGTTTCAAAATGCATCGTGAGCAACAGACATATTCCTGAGTGTTCTTTCTATGTGAGTACTTGGGGTATATGTTCTGCAGTCAGAAATATTTTTTTCTTTATCGAATGCCAGCTTCATGATGGACAAAAACCTATGGCCAAATACATGCACTTCAGTGAGCAGATGGCCTGTGTGAGGCCAACACCAGAGGGTGACTCTCCAGTCTACTGTGGGTGCAGTCTTTAGCATGGCCATGCTTACAGACTCCAGATACCTGTCTGGTCACTCATTAGACACATCAAACAACACAGATCTCATGCCTGCAAATGAAGCCTCTGAAGGATACCAGTGCAGAAAATCCAAACAGCAAGGAGTTAGGAAATCCTGGCCAAAGAACTCCAAGTGATTACTCAGAAAACAATTTTGGCATTTCTACTGGATGCCTTTTTAACACCATGGGAGCCAGTAAAAATACCGAGCCACATTGTCCTTGTGCCTTTCAACAGACCACAGTGCCAGTTATACTAGCATTTCTGTTTATTGCTTTGGGGAGTTATTTTTCTTAGGGATTCAGCAAATATTACAATAACGGACAAGGCCAAAGCTCCGATGAGCACAGCCTGGGAGGCTTCTGATGAAACACACTGAACTGTACGTAACACTGTGGACAGTACAGGGTAACCAGAGGTGGAGCTAGTGCCTCACCAGTATGCATGTGTCTACTGAGGCTGCAGAGGGCCCAGGAGTGGCACCAAGCTGCAGGGACAGCCAGCCCCACTCAGTTTCTCCTTGAAACACAACTGCAGCTGCATTCTGCATCACTGGAAACTGCAACATAATATTAAAGCCGTTGGTCTATGTGTGGCTGTGTATGCTTCTTGAAATCTGTGTCATAGGGACTTGTGTCCCCAGTATGCTGGTCACTATGCCGAATGACCTAAGAAAGTGTCTCACGTCCCAGGTGCTAACCTACAAACTACTGCTCAAATACCTGTGCTGTCAAGTTCATCTGGATCCCCAAAGAGAACACAGAGATAAGTGGGGATGCTGGGAGACACAGGGCTGTTAGGGAAACATCTCTCACAGAAGAAAAATAAAGCTAAGTCAAGAAAAATAAAGGTGGGCTACATCTTTAAGACCACTTCTATCAGATGAGCTGTTAATCTGGACTGGGAGCTGGCAAATTTTCTGAGAAAGGCCAGATCGTAAACTTTAGACTCAAGGCCACATGGTCTCCACTGCCAACTGCCAACTACTCAGTAGCTCCATCAATCATGTGTAGAGGAATGGGTGGGGCTGACAGGAAACTCTTCAAAGTAGGAAGTGGGTCAATGTCATCACAGTTAACAAATCTCTTCAGACAGTCAGTGAAGAGACAGGTGGGGGAAGATGCCTGTGATAGGCAGGTTTGCTGACAAGGGCAGTGGCTACCATCCTGCCACATGGAAGAGAAGGCATGTACAGCTCTATCCCTCAGCATCTTTGGGATCCCAAGCAGTTCACCATTTTCCAGGCTCTAGCATCTTCTGAATCAAAGTGGCTCAAGTACATGGTCAACACTTGACTCCCTATCCCTTCTGCCTGGTAGCCAACTGCCATGGTGGCAGTGATCAACATAGAGGTTCCCAACTTATTTCCACATCCTTGATCATCTCTACAGGACACCTATGCCTGCTGTGTGAGGCTTTAGGAATGCTAAAAATGTCGTCCAGCCTCACCAGCATCACTAGCCTCAGGCCCTGGCTCTGGGGACATAGGAAGCTGTACATGCTGCTCCCGGGGGATCCGTGGCCGCTGGGCTGTACACTCACATTCTTCTTTAAAACTGTCCTGAGTTGGGCCTGAAGCCTGCCTGCTCCCTTTGTCTTGACACATGACACAACAGGCTGTGAACCCTTGTCCTCGACAGGCATAACAGGTCAAAACCAGCTGGCGGCACTGTGGAGTGGAGCAGAGCTTATACTGGTCCCACAGGGCTCCACAGTACGAACATTCTAGAGAAGAAAAGCTCTTGTTATTCTCTCTCTCTCTCTCTCTCTCTCTCTCTCTCTCACACTCTCTCACACACACACACACACACACACACACACACACACACAGACACATATACTCACCGATCACACACACACACACACACACACACACACACACACACAGAGTCATGTACTCATCCAGTTCCTAAATATAACTCTTAGCTCACTAGAATCTAATATACGCTGTTGGCCCCAGGAAAGGTTTCTTAACAGTGAGTCTCCAAGTCAGGCAGGGTGGTGCCAACAGTTAGGAGGCTGAGATAGCAGGACTGCAAGTTCAAGGCCAGCTTGGGCTACATACACAAGGAGACAATACATTTTTTTTTTCGAGGCCAGCTTAGGCTACATACACAATGAGACAATACATTTTTTTTTGAGACAGGATCTCCCTGTAACCATAGCTGGCCTGGATTCACTATGGAGACCACAGGCCGGCCTCAAACTGACTGGTTCTGCCTGCCTCTGACTCCTGAGTGCTGGAATGAAAGGTGTGGGCCACCATGTCTGGCAAACAATAAAAATTTTAAAAACCCCAAAACTCTTATTTTCTAAGAAAGCAAGGCTCCCTTACTTTTACTTTTTGGGTGTGTGTGTGTGTGTGTGTGAAGAGTATACTTCTGGAAACTGTCTTCTGACTCCACCCTTCATTGACTCACTGTTCTTTTTCCCATCCAGAAGATGGGTGCATCTCTTTTTCTTGAGCTATTCTGAAGCTGGCTAACTGCCTATCATTAAAGGGTCTTCTCTTAGATAGTTTCCCTTTCCAGGGGGACAACACACCTAAATATAGATAACCACACCATACATTTAACTTGTACAATGTACAACCCCCAGCACCCCACCCTAGTCTCAAGTCCCAAATGCTGTTGCCAGGACATAGGACCACCTGACCCCTGAACTACACTATCTTCCTTCTCAGCCTACATTTCCTGGTCAACTTCCTGTTACCACCAACACCACCAGTCTCTTCATCCTGCTTAGCAAAGCTCCATTTGGACCTTTTCTCCCATTTACAGTCACAAGCAGGCACTCAAGTCCTGCCAAGTTTTCCTCCATAAAAGCTCAGATCTGCTTTCTACTTATAATTTATACTACAACACCTAGCTACAAAACAGATCTGAAGTAGTTTCCAAACAACGAATATTAGACCATTATAGTAAGTGAAAATATTAGAAAGGTGGGCCAGCAAGATGGCTCAGTGGGTAAAAGTGATTGCTGCCAAGCCTAATGGCTGCCTGAGTTTGATCCCTGCAACCTACATGGTGGACGAGAACCAACTCCCTCAAGTTATCCTCTGACCTTCCAACGTGCACTGTGGCATGTGTGTTCTTGTACACACACACAGTTGTAATTTAAAAAAAGAAAGATGAATTCAAATCTTAGACTCCAAGGGGTAATTCTACCTCAGTCCCTATTCACAAGTGTTCTAGAAACTGCAGCTGTCATTAAAGTTGCTTGCCTATGACTTTCCCATTCCAAGCTGTGGTGAGGGTCACTCACCTTCTGAAGGATGTCTCTCCTTTTACTATCTGCACCTGCAGGACTCTCAAGGTAGGCCCAACACTGTAGGCAAACCAGAGGCTGGCTGTGCTAGCTGCCCCAGGGGCCCTGCTTCTGATCCTGCTCTGGGCTCCGTTCTCATTTTCAGACAGCACTACTCAATGTGCACAGTTCAGGTGTCCATACATTGTCTGAACCAGGGCCTCCTACTCTTTTTTATGTCACAGGTTCACCTGGTAGCCTGGTAAAGATGAAGGACCCAGTCTACGAAAAATGAGTTTAAATGAATAAAATCAAATGCACAGTATTACAAAGGAAACTCATGCTGGGTGTGGTGCCCACACGTTTAATTCCAGCACTTGGGAGGCAGAGACAGGGGGATCTCTGTGACATTGAGGCCAGCCTGGTCTACATAGTGAGTTCCAGGCCAGCTGGGGCTATAGGGAGACCATGTCTCAAAACAAAGAAAACTGATTATACAGAAATACAAAATAAGAAAATATCTTTCAAAATCTGTGATCTAGTAAGAGCTGTTACTCATTAACACATTCAGTAACAACTTGGTGGTCAGCCTAGTGACTATGTCCACCATGACGCAGTGCTGAGTGAAAGGCTATGTTGAATTATCCAGCAGAAGTGTGATGTGAAAATGCCTGGAACTCCACTACAGACAAAGGCCCAGGCACATCTGGTACAACTGGTTTACTGTGTGCATTCATGAATGATGGAAATGTTTCATTTCTGTCAAATTACTAAAATGAAGATTTAACTATTTTTTCATCAAAATTCACTGAACTCCTAAATTCTATATCCTAACTCCAGGCTAAGTCCATGGTTTACTGTTGGTCTGGCTCCAAGCAGGCAAGGGAGGTGGGATTATGGACATTTTAAAGGATTGTCCACCCAGTACAATGGCACAGCCAGGACCTTTTCTGATACCTGGTCTAGAATCTGTCTGCTCCACCCCTCTATCTCCAACTTCAGGGGAAACAAAGCAGGTATCATCACCCACATTTCACCATACCATGCTCAGGTGTAGCCCCGGCCTGCCTTCTCTGGGCAGTGGTTCTGGAACAGTGAATAATCCTGTCCTGATTCAGTGTGGGCTCTAGACCTGAACTTACCTACCTGATACCACAGCATTGTTGTAGGCCAGGGCATACCGCTCGTCAAAAACAAACAGCTTCCCTTTGTAAAAACCATCAGGAAACTCTTCCAGATACTTGTGGATGCCACCCTTGAGCTGGAACACTTCCTTACACACTCCCTAGGTATGGAAAAACAACAAGAAATCTGAACATCAGAGACCCAGAAGCAGCCCCACAGTGGCAAGTGCCCAAATGGAGGAGTCACTGCCTATGCCATCAGCCAGGGGTGCCCAGTGCCCCCAGCAGTACACAGAAACTGCTGACCAAAGGGTCAAGGAACCAAATGGCAAGACCTCACCCACTGGGGATGGATGATGACAACAGTCAGGCCCTTCACCCTCTAAGACCCTGGGAAGCCTAACTATTTTTGCTACCCCCTAAATATAGGAAGACATCTGTTGGGACATGTAATGTTACTGAATTTGCTCTTCTCAGGATCAAGTAAATGGATTAGGAAAAGGGAGCGGCTCAGCTAAGCTCACTCTTTTGTACTGGATGAGTCTCTTAAGACTACTAAGTGCTTTTCACATCTTGAGATTTGAGAACCTCAGATTTTGTACTTACAAACTCCATGTTGGAGCCACACAACAGAAAACAAATCCTCAGAAGCAGGGGGTGAGCGAATGGAATGAAGCGTGGAAGTGAAGGGTAGGAAATGCTGTTGGTTGTGGGCCTCCAGTGTATCCCAGTGGTGGCTCACCTTAGCTCTGAGGTATGCGGAGCCCCGCTCACAACGGATGCCCCCAGTGCAGTACATCAGCACCCTCTTCTGTCTGAAAACGTCAAGATTTTTGTCAATGTAGCTAGGGAAGTAACTGAATTTCCTGATGTCTGGTGCTAAGCAGCCCTGGAATCGTCCCTACAGCAAAGGAACAGAAGGAAATTAGAAAAATGCACCTGGTAGGAACCCAGCTCTTTACATGTGACAACTCCCACCTTGGCAGAGAACAAGTGGTAGCTGAGGTTCCCAGCCCACACTCCCAAGTTTTAACTTCAAGATCTGGAACTAGAAACAGGGCCTGGAGGCTGTCAGCATCCTCTTCTTAAAGATTCCAGAGGGGAATGGTAGGTTTCACAAGTCAGTTTTCACAAGACTGCTGACATGTGCCAAAGGTAGGCTCATAGGAAACAAAAGCCACACTGTGCGCCAAGATGTCTTTGACTCCTGCTTTCTTTGACCCTCTCATGGGACCCTGAGCTCAGGGTTTGGGTGTTCCCTGATGCAAGTACAGGAAAGGAGTCCGTGTAGCTCAGGGTCCCTGCAATGCTGTATAAGGGGGGCCCCTGCCAGGTCAGTCAGCTCAGTTCTGGCTCTTACTTACTATTTTGCTTTCATAGAAGTTTCTGCAATCCAGAAGGATAGTGTCACTTTGTTCTTCATTTGCCCGAGATAAAAGTTTTTCTACTTCCTTATGAAATTCACCAGGGGATAAATGGATCCCTAAAACCAAGCCAAAGAATAATGTTAAAACAAAAATTAAAAACCAGAATCTAATCACAACTGGCCAAACCTGACCTAAGTGCTGACTTTGCTTTTCCATCTTAAGCTCTTCTCATAATTACAGCTGACTGCAAATAACAGTACTTGATGGTTATGATAAAATAACATAGCAATTCCCGGTGTCTTCACTGCCTACCTTCTAATAAGGATTAGAGCTCTAACAGTTTAGAAATAAGGCATTCTGCATTTTTACTTGGCCTAACCCAGCAGTAAAAACCAGATACTTAAGGATCTATTTGGAGGTGTCTGTTCACTGTGTGGTGTGTGGTGTGTGGTGTGTGTTCACTAGTGAGTCGGGAAATGGCCACCGTCCTATCCTCATGAAGGAACTTTAGCATGTATGCGATTCACTTCAAACTGTCATGTAGTAAGGCTGAGTCCACGTTGAAGACCTTGGCTTAAACAGAAGCAGATGAAAGCATAACATTATGGAATAAGGTTCGAGTGTATGTGTGTGTCTGATGCAGGAGGGTAAGAAAGTGTCTAAATTTGTAAGTATGAGTAAGAGAAAAGGGTGGAAAATCTGACAACAGGGTGAGTGAGAGAGAAAAAGAAACCTAAAAGATAGGCGAGAGAGGAGATGGAGATAAGTATTCAAATGCAAGCAGACCAAAAATCTGTGGAGCCCTTTGCTTTCTGACTCTCCTGAACAGAACTATCCCCCTATCTTTGGGGGTTCAGATATCTTAGTAGTTGTGAGGAACTTATGGCGAATTTGGCACTGTGGGGTAATCGTACCCCAAGGCGGGGAGGCTTTGGATGACTCAATTACCCAGCACTCAGAACAGAGCTTTATAGCACCACAGGAGCTTCATTCTGTTGGGGATGAACCCCAACAACAACCTGACAATTCCCAAAACATGGGGAGAAAAGAGGTCCCTGAACAGTCAGGAAGCCTAGGTTTTTGCCTGTCAAAGCTACAATTATGGGAGAATGCAACCAGGCATGATGCTCTTCAGGTCAGTGTCACGTACTTAACATGAATACCAAACAGTGATGTAAAAACAAGGTTCAAAAATGCGATGAGAAACATGGAAATCTGCTATGCGTCTCCCTGCTTAGAGCCACAGGGAACCCAATCTGTCCCCTGCCACTGCTGTTACTGCTGCTGCTCTAGTGGCAGAGAGGGTCTAAGTGGACAGAGACCCAAATGGATATGTTTAAAAGAGGTCCCTTTAAAGCACCTGGTTCAAATGAAAGCAGCCCAGCATTGCCTAGAGGTCACCTCCCAAAGCTCCTGAGCAGTGTTCTGCAGTGCCAACAACAGCTGTTGACATGCTGCCTCCTGCTAGGATGGGGCACCAAGCAGACAAAGCCCTGCTCAGGTCTCATCTCTTCATGCTTTCCAAGATGTTTTATATTATTCCTATTTCCCTCTAGCTTTATTCCTGGCCTCCATTTCAATATTTACATACTAAAAACTAAATCACACTTCTTTCCAATGAAAGAAGGCACACTATCTAGGAAGAAGTCTTACAGAGTAGAGGCAGAAAAGAAAGGAATTGAACTTGACTTGATCAAGGTTCTAGCTTGGAGTTGTCTATTGTGGCTGCCACTAGTCACCTGTGGCTGACAACTACTTGAAGCACACTTTGAGATATGCTGAAAGAAGAGTGCGGCACATACTAGATCTCAAGGACTTAGTAAAAAAATCAAACCATCTCACTAATAATTTTATACTGTTTACATGATGATTGCATTGGAATACATTACATTAAGTAAGTTATTTATAAACTAGTTTCACCTATTTCTTTTTATGTGACTACTAAAAAATGTAAAACACTATGTGGCTCCATATTTCTACTAGACAACAGAACTCAATCTGACTGGCAATCTATAGGAAATACAGTGATAAAGGACTGACTAACCCATGGGATGCAGTTAGAACCATCTAGACTATGAGGAACGCTATAGACCAAATGACTGAGCTCCTTCACAATGAATCTGCAGGGCTAGTAACATGGCTCAGCAGGTAAAGGCATAGACCTCCAAGCCTGCTGACCTGAGTTTCATCCCCAGAACCACCACGGTGAAAGCATATCCTGTGACCTCTACATGTGTACTGTAGCATGCAAGCCCCCACACAACCACTAACATACATACATACATACATACATACATACATACATAAATGTAAAAAATCAAACTAATCTGCAGATTGGGATGTCTACAGGAGACAGAGTGAACAGAGAACTATTCCATGGGGGGTGAGTACTGCCCAGATTCTGAGAAATTCTTCAGGCTGAATGGCTGAGCTCCTTGAAAACCAATCTGCAGTCAAGACTAAGAGAAGAATGTAAAGGTTTAAGACACTCCCCCTATACCATGTTGAATGGATCTTACTTATATATTTTTTCTTTGATCTGTGTGGAGGTTAGAGGACAACCTTGGGTGTCAGTCCTCTTCCATCTTGAGGCAGGTTCCTGCAACTTCACACACCAGGCTAGCTGGCCTGTGAACATGTAGAGATTCTGTCTCCACCTCCCTTCTTGTAGTAGGAGCACAGGGATTCTAGGTGTATGCTATCGTATCCAACTCCTGACACGGGTTCTGGGAACTGGAACTTGGGTTGTCATGCTTGAATGACAAGTGCTTTACCCACTGTGCCATTTTCCCAGCTCCTTATTTAAATCATAATAGAAACTTAAGAAATCATAACACAACTGGGAATTCACTGACTATTTATTAATTACTATTATAATGTTTTAACCATGTTAACAGTTAAAGTTTTTAAAAAAAATCTTTATTTTTCAGAGCTAACTACTAAAGTATGAATGAAGTAACATGACATGGGGCTTCTGTTTAAAATGATTGAGGGTGAGGGCTGGAGAGATGGCTCAGCGGTTAAGAACACTGGCTGTTGTTGCAGAAGACCCAGGTTCAAATCCCAGCACCTACATGGCAGCTAACAACTGTCTGTAACTCCAATTCCAGGGGATCCGACAACCTCTTCTGTCCTCTGCGGGCATCGCACGACACGGGTGCACTTACTTTCATGAGGGCATAACACTCAGACACATTAAAACACACACACACACACACACACACACACACACACAAAATGATCGAGGATGGAAGAGGAACAAACACAGAGGAAAGCTTGCCAGGAATGAGTTGCTGCTGAAGCTCTGGGGGTTAAGCACATGGAAGTCACTTGATTCCTTTCTCTATTGTATTTAATGATTGGAAACTTTCATGATAAAACATGAAACAAAATCAAAAAGCCCCATCAAACAAATGTCTTTCAACCACATATAGTAACCACAGGGAAGTGGGGATAGAGTATTCTAGGGCACTGCAAACTGCTTTGGTTTTGAAAGCCATTTGCTTGCTGTGGCAAAAAGCCCGAGTGTTCTTTCTGTGAATGAACTATCTGTAGTAATAATCACACTCCTTACAAATTACTCTTTGGAAAGACAAATCAACTTCTTGCCAAACCATCACCAAGAAGAAGGAGATAGGTCAACTTTAAAGATGAGCCTTTAAGCCAGGCATGGTGGCACACTCCTTTACTCCCCGCACCTGGGAGGCAGAGGCAGGTGGACTCCGTGAGTTCAAGGCCAGCCTGGTCCACATAGTGAGTTTCGCGCCACGTTGGGGCTACAGGAGATCCCTGTCTCAACAAAGACCAAAAAAACAAAAACAAAAACAAAATAAAGATGAGCCTTTTAATTACCACAAGCACCACAGAAAGAACCAATTTATGTGCTAGATGGACTAAGAGCCACCCCAAAGCTATTTTAGAGGGAAGATTCACTACAACTTTTGCTGATCAGTGCTTAGAGTTGTTTGTTATTTGCAGTTTGCAGTTGTTTACAGTTACTTGTCTATTAAGTTTTATCTTCATGATGAAAAGCACAATTCTTTGAAAAATGAACATACCGGGCTTCTTATAGGATATCTTGCTGGGGCTGATCCCCATGGGCACGATTTCTTCAAACACACCAACACGCAGTTCTGGGAAGCAGTGAGCTCCTCCTTTGCTGCTCTAGCAATGAAAAGCAAAACAGTCTACTTGTCACACTGCCAGGTAAAAGACAAGTGCCAAAGAGAATTACGGTCTGTTTTAGAGGGCGATGGTTGAAGTCTTAAAAAACCTCAAATTGAGAGGGGGAGGGGTCAGGGAAGGAATTCTCAGTGGAGTTAGTTAAGGTCCAGAATGTTCCAGATAATTCAAGATGTTAGTAACTGACTACCACTTATCTCCCATATGCAGGAATGCTGTGTTTCTATGGCTGTGAGCATTGAAGTCAGCAGCACTGAGCAACTCCAGCACGTGACTGTGCCCCAGCTTTCGTTCTGGAGCAGCAGCCGTTTCCTTCTCACTGCCACTAGCATGAGCACCGAGGCATTTCCCACCAGCTTATCACTTTAAAAAAGCAAAAAGTACTCACTCACAGCTCAGCTGCAGAACCACAGCTTTAGTCCCCATGTGCTGTAAAGTATTAACCTTTCCATTTCAGGTTCACTAAAAACAGAGCTCATCATAGCGATCTGTTCAATAGTCTCTCAAGTAAACAAACACGTCCAAGCTTTAAATCCTAGCTTGCGTAACTGTAATGTCCCTACAGCATAAGGAAGCCTAAGGTCTAGAAAATGTACCAACTGATCCAAAGTGACACAGGTACTTGATGGAAAAATAGTGGCAAGCACACTCGTTTTATTACACTGGTTTGTCACTGAGAGGAAAAGGGATTTAACTGACTCTGTGTGGCGGCACTCTTCAATGGCTGGCACCAAGGCAGAAGCAGAATGTTCTAGCTTCATTTTCTATTTCTCTTACCTTAAAATCATTCTTACACAGATAATCCTTAAATAATGGGCAAGAAAGCATGGCTTCCACATATAGTCTTGTGGCCATTTTGCTTCCACCAACAGTTCCATTGATTCCTTCAGTAGCAATCCGAACCTGAGACACAAGATGGAAAGCGGGAACAGAGCATCTGAGCATCGTCTTAACTTGGCTGTCTTTTCAGGATAGAATAAAGACCTCATGAATAAAACAGGAAAAGCAGAGGCCCCACTGTAGCCACCACAGTATTGCAAGACAAAACACTTGTGTTTTTCTAAACTGGCATGATCTACTGTTCAGATGAGTTCAGTTCATGTGTGCTGAACAAGAAAATGTGACTGAGACCTCTTGAAAGCCCATTTGCTACAGCTCTCCAATCATCCAATGGCCAAAGAAGGAAATTTTGAGATTAGCCTGAACCCAGGCAGTATAATAGAGCCTCCAGAGGTCAGCAGATCTAGCATTAGTTCTGCTACTTACCAGGAAAGTTACAGTCTCTAAACTTCAATGTCTCCATGTTAATTAAAACGATAAGACAATGCCAAAAATAGATTTAAAAAAATCCTGCTGAGGAAATGTTACCCAAGGCTTAAAAGTACAGAACCTATATGAAGGTAGGAAAGTATGTATCATCCCTGTATAGAGGTTGAGGAAAGGCCAATATCCCAAACCCACCAGCTGTAATTCAAATCCTAGGAGGGTGTATCTGGTTTGTTTACTGATGTACCTGTGTCTACAGCAGTGCCTGCCACAAGGTGGGCACTCAGTATCCACCAAGCACGTGCATGCATACTCATAGCTGGGGTTCTGTCTCCTCAAATCTGAAACTGTCTTCCCTGGTAAAGGAACCAAGTAAAGCTCCTGGTGGGAGCTTGGGGTAGGGCATGCTCGGGGTGGGGGTGGGGGGCTGCAAAGTTGGTTGTCTTAGTAGATAAAATCCTTTAGATGAGTTTTAGAGCAGCTTTAACAAGAGCCACCTCTAGAGGAGTGCTAGAAAATGCAGTCTATGTAGTATCATAGCAGCCTCTGCAAAGAGAAGTGGTCCAATTCAAGACCCTACATTGTTGCAGCTATTTACACACAAATACAGAATTCAAAAGGTTTTTTTGTTTTGGTTTTTTTTTTTGGTCTTTTTGAGATAGGGTCTCTCTGTAGCCCCAGCTGGCCTGGATCTCACTATGTAGACCAGGTTGGCCTTGAACTCACAGAGATTCACCTGCCTCCCGAGTGCTGGGATTTTAAAGGCATGCACCACCATGCCTGGCAATAGAATTCAAAAGTTTTAAGTGGCTGCTCATTTCAAGGTCCTGAGAAGACATCTGATTTCTTACCTCACTTGAGCCAACTCTTTAGTCACAACAGACAAAGGGATGAACCCCACAAGGCACTGCCAATGCAGTGGCCACTCTGAGTTCCATGAATGAAGTATCTAGATTATATCTGACTCCTTGGGAAAGAGAGTTGCAGTCTAGGGAACCTATTCTTGGCATGAGACAGGGAGGCAGGGTGCACAGCCCACCTCTACACCTACCACCAACTGACAGGAGACTACATGGAGAAATACCGCTGATCCAGTGCAAGGTCAGGAAAACAGTCAGACAGAAGCAGGTGGTGACCGTCTGGGTGGTTGGCAATTCTCATACATTTCATTCTAATTCCAGCTACCAAATGCATTCCATGCACATCCACTCCCTACAGAACTAAGAACTCATGTGCTAGAGTTCTTCAAGTCCTTCAAAGATGCTTCTTGGTGAAAAGGCCTTGTGACTAAGAAACTGAGACAAGCAACAGTTAGCATTTACGGAGCACCTACTGAGAGACTGAGCTTTACCTTATAATCTAGAAAGGCTGACATGGTCATCCATTTTACAAAGAAGGAAATGGCAGTTAAGAGAAGTGATTTGCCCAAGGCAAAAAATTGATGAGTGGCGAATCTAGAACTCAACCAGATCCAAACTTTGTAATGTGTCCAGCAAGTCCTCTCAAATTTTGTGGGGCCAAAGGACGTACAGTAAGCACCAGTCAAGTTCTCCTTCTCCTTGCCTAAGGATCAAAACTGTCAAATCACCAGCACTGAAGTACTACACTGAATTGAGCATGTCTCTGGAAGATGCTGCCACCTTGTGGATAGGACTCCTCATTGCTAGTGCACCACAGGCTGGGCCAAAGACCACAAATTTTTAAGATGTCTTGTTATGAAATCTACATAGCCAGGCTGGCTGTGGACTTACAGCAATCCTCCTGCTTCAGCTTACCAATTCTGAGATTACAGGCATGCACCACCATTCCTAGCTTTAAGCCAAGAGACTGATTTCATAATTTGTACTTTTTATGAGAGTTCCCATCTTTGACAATGTGTAAGTCCACTGAAAAGAGAAATAGTGATATATATTCAGTCCAAATATTTGCTGGATTTTTTAAACTATACAATATGTGCTAGGAATTAGGGATATAGTCATTGAAAAAACTACATTTCCCTCCCTTTTCAGAGCTTAGAGGCAAAGGAGGTCGGAGATTAAGAGTTACAAAAAGGCAAATGCTATGAAAGTCCCATGAGATGCCATGAGACTGCATACTGTAGAAAGTGAATTTAGACTGAAGGTAAAGAAAGGTCTCTTTGAGAAACTGTCTTTAAAACTGCAAACTGAAGCTTCAGTAAAATTAGACTAGAGTGGGTGTGGAAATGTTCCTTGTGACAACAGAACTTTGGTGGGTTCCAAGAAACTGAAAGATGATGTAGCTGGAACACGAAGAATGAGAAATGGCATCAGCTAGGAGGAGAGAGAGCAGAAGGCTCAACCATGCAGGACCATGCAGGTCATGGGAAGGAGGTGGGTTTCATTTGCCCCCAATGCAGTCACTCAAAGATAATGAGGAGGAGCCGTGTGATTTCATTTACCTTCTAAGATCATTTTGGTTGTTCTGTGGAAAGTGGATTAAATGGTGGGTGAGGATGGAGCATTAGAGAGTAGTTTGGAAGGTTCTCCGTGGACAAGATGAGGCAGGGTGGCAGCTTAGTCTAGGGTGTTAGAAATAGGAAAGAGGAGTAAATGGCATCAAGGGATATTTTAGGGCAAGGCACAGTGATGAACTGAATGAGGTAAATGAAATCAGTACCTGTTAAAAAACATGTGAGTGGAAAATAGCACTGACCAGTTTATTAATATCTGGGACACAACGGAGAAATTGTTAAGACAGGACAGAGTCATAACCAGAAGAGCTCTCAAAGAGAATCTACTTCACTTTCTTTTGATCTAAATTTTGAAAATTTAATGCACACACACACACACACACACACACACACACACACATACATATACACAGAGGACATCTTACGAAAATAAAAAAACTACCCTTTTGTGCAGAGATGAACATTAGCATTTTGGTACATACTTTCCCCCATCTTTACAGGCACACTCATGGTTTTGTTATGAATAAGCATTTATTCCTTTATTTTAACTTCATATATTCAGAGTGCATGCTGTATCCTAACCCCTCAGTATATTCAGCACTGAGAATACATTGATAACTAGTTAAGACAAAGTTCCTGATCTCATGAAGCTTATGTTCTAAGGGAGACGGGTTATACTTTCAGGCAGTAATAAATTCTTTGATCAGAGACAAGGGACAGAGTGTGATGAGGACAACTTCCCGTTACAGCTCTAAGGAGACAACCCTGGAGCAGAGCTGAGGGAAGCATGAGCTGAGTCATGCAGGAAGATGTAGAGCCTTGTAGAAGAAAAGGAGACAGCAAACGTTAATACCGAGGCAGTAAAAGACCTGGGCATGTCCTAGGGAAACTGAGAAGCTACTTGGAATCATACCTGCATGTACAGTCTACAAGAGGCTTTTTGAGTTCATATATGAACATTTCCTTACCTCAGCAATCAACAAATTACCCCTGCTTTTGCATAAAGTTGTACCAGAATGCAGCCATATCCACTCTTTCATTAATCGTCCATGAATGCTTCCAAGCTACACTAGTGGCATAATGAGTAGATGTTTTTATACACAGCCTAAAATAGTTACTACATGGTCCTTTAGGAATTGGCTGACTGACTCCTGATCTATGTCATTAGAGTCTTATAAAATAACATTTACAGTTGTTTAATACTCTCTTAGAATGTCAAGCAGGCTTTCCCTCACTAAGAACCCCCAAGTGAAGATAAGCCCTGTACGGTATGTGTGAAGAAGGGCTTACCTTGCCCGTGAGATGCAGGCACTGACACAGAGCTGTCTGCCAGGCACAGACCCAATGGGGATCCTCCAGGTCACAGTAGCAGTAATACAAAAGCACCTCTCCTTCCTCACTGCCCTGGCTCCTACGAGAAGGGAAATCAGAAGAAAGAGCACCTGAGTTGCTGGTCCAAGGAGGCCACAATTCATGCACACCCAGGCAGTACTACAGTATCCACAGAAGGCAAAGATGGGAAAACTCAGGCCTGCCTTTCTTCTTCTTATTCTTCTGAAAAGAGCAGCTCTCTCATATTTGCTCTACAGAGAAGTTTCCACACTGGAATTTTTACTTTACAAAAAAGGAGTTTTGTTCACTCTCCTCACTTAACACTCATACCCAAGAGACAGGTATGAACACCATTTCACAGTAGAGCACTGTAATCACAAGGCAGCATCTGGTTTGACTCTCTCACTAAAAAAAAGTTTTACTTGAATTTATCCAACCAACTGCTGAGCCATCTCTCCAGCCTCTTGTGCAGTATTCTTACATGACTGTACCTGTTCTTTCATGCTCCTGCTATGGCCATTTGTAGTTGTTTCCAGTTTGCTTTCTGAGAGATGGCTCAGCGGTTAAGAACACTGGCTGCTCTTACAGAGGACCCAGGTTTGATTCCCAGCACCCACATGGCTGCTTACAATTATCCATTAACTCCAGTTTCAGGGGATCTGATGCCTTCTTCTTACCTCAGCAGGACTGCACGACACAGGTGCACTTACATACAAGCAGGCAATGCACTCACTCATACACATAAAATAAAAATAAATATATAAAAAATTATTTATCTTTGTGTGTACATATGACATATGAGTGTATGCATGTTTATGTTAGTGCATCTGTGCCATGGCATGTCTGTGGAGACATGTACCACATGTCTGTTTGGTATCTGTGGAGGCTAGTAGAGGGAATGACATCTCCTGCAACTGGAGTTACAGACAGTTGTGAGTTGTCTATATGGGTGTGGGTGCTAGAAACTGAACCCGAGTCCCCTGTGAGAGCAGTAAACACTTCTAACCACTGAGTCATCTCTCTGGCTCCTGAGACAGGGTCTCTTGTTCGATGCTGTACACGCCATGATAGCTAGCCTGGAAGATTCACTCTGTCTCTGCCACCTATTTTGCCACAGTGGCAATGCATTATAGCCAAGTGCTGCCAGGTGTGGCTCTATGTGGGTTCTGGAGATTCAAACTCAGGTCCTCACAAGCAAGGAAAGTACTTTACCCATTGAGCCATTTCCCCAGCCCTTACTACTTTCAGATTTAACTAGTTTATTTTTAGTTAGCATACAAAATAATGGGTTGTTTACAATATTTTATTACAAACAAAATTTCTATGAATATTCTTGTTAGGCTTTTGTTGGCATATGCTTTTATTTCTGTTGGTTATATACCCATGAGGGGATCACTGGGAAGATGTTGGACTTAAAAACTTTTTTTAATGTATGTATTTTTATTTTAGTGTATGAGTGTTTTGCCTGCATGTATGTAAGTGCACTATGTACATGCAATGCCTGAAGAGGTCATAAGAAGGCATTGAATCCCGTGAAACTATAGTTACTGATGGCTGTTAGCTACCATGTGGGTGCTGGGAACCAAACCTGGGTCCTCTGCAAGGGCAGTCAGTGCTCTTCACCACCAAGCTGTCTCTCCAGCCCCAGATGTTTGACCTTTAAAAGAACCTGCCAAACACTTTTCCAGAGTGTTAGGGCCATTTCACATTCGCATCAGCAATGACTGGGTTTTCTGTTGCTTCACAATGCCACCACATTTGCCAAGGTTGGTCTTTCTCATTTTAGTGGGTTGCCTGTAATGTCTCATTGTGATTGGGAAATATTTTCAAAGTAAACCATAATACAGAATGAAAACTTTACCTCATTAGCTCGTCAGAGCTACAGCAGCTTGCATCAGGGAGCCAAGCAGACACTTCAGGACAAGGAGTAAGATAGTCTTTCAGGGGGCTCTTTTTGTCTGTAGACATAAGGCTCTTTGAGGCACTCAATGTTGCAGTTAGCTGCTTTAAAATAGAAGTAGTCTGCTGATAAATTTCATCACCATGCTGTGTTGCCACATGTCTATGGATGCTGGTCTGGTCTGCAAATAGCTGCTGACAGCATCTCCACCATTTTTCCTTACAGTCAAAAGGAGGTGCTGGAACTTGTTTGTTTCTGACGAAAAGGGCAAAGGCCTGCAATTACATTTTAAATAAAAGCATTGTTAAGTAGCCTTAGGTTTAGGGGTAAAGGAAGTATCAATGTAATCTCTTATATTACCTTTTCATGGGCGGCTTCTACTTTGGCATCCCACTAGTCTATGAAGAGAGCAACAATGTGGGCATGTATTGCTTTCAGCAGCCCAAACACTAAGATTGGAATGGTAAGGTATAGCGTCATAGCCTAGCCTTCCAGACCTGAGCCTTCAACTTCTGTGCTTTTCCTCTGCATATGCTAGGGACATGGACAAACATGGAACCCTTGCTGTTTCCACATTCTTGTCCTTGTCTCCACTGATCCCTGAGATGAGACATGCTACTCTAGTTTTCTCTGTTACAGGATCATTTTTCAACATTCAGAGTCCATCTCAGAGGCCTCTTCAGACTAATGAGGAAAAATATGACATATAGGTATCAACACATATGTAACTAAGATAAGCAAAGGGCGGGCAGTACTAGCCCAATCTGACAGGCAGTTTTAAAAATCAAAAGTGTTAACAGAACATTTTCAAATCTTTTCTTCTAGCTCCGACATTCAATCTATCAGCTGTACTTCCAAATATACCCAGAAGCTAACCATTTCTTACCACCCCCTTGGCTGCTACTCTGCTGATCCAAGAAACCATCACTCTTCTCTGGATTATTGTAATAACTCTTTCATCTCCGCCCTCCATCGTTTGTTTTCCATTCCGTCAGATGCTTCTTTTAAAGCCTAAATCAGATGGTATCACTCTTTTGTTCAAAATTCTCCATAGGCCCTCTTCTGATTCTCCAGTAAAGTTCCCAGATAACCTGATTCCTTATGCTGCTCCTACCTGTAGCATCACTATTTCAGCCTCTTGGCTTTGGCTCAAACGTGGTATACAGGCTTCTGTACCAGGATCTTTGCACTGGATGTTCTTCTTCTAAGTATCTGTGGGGCATGCTCATTTTCTCATTTCCTTAAATGTTACCTACTAATAAGAACTTTTTCTGACCATCCTACATATATAAGAAAAGCTGAATTCTCTTTAAGCTTCTTTAATTCTTCCTCATAAGACCTCTTACCATCTAACACATTTTCTACAGTTATATTACCACGGAAAGAGTTTGCAGTTATAAGTTAAAGTTTATATTATATAGTTATTACATAGTTTATATTATATAGTTATTACTTATGTATAAAGTCTTCTATAAGATAACTTAATTCTGCTATAGGTAAAATAAAATGGGTAGTAAAATATTCTACCAACAGGAGTGCATATTCCCCTTCTGGGACAGTACTATTTAACAGAACACAACAAGAACTTCAGCAGTAGTCATGTTTTAACCCATTTTAGGGACTGTTCTTAAGGGCAAGATCTAAATTTAAGGTATTAGTAAAACACTGTAAGTAACATTATCAGTTATTTCCAAAAAGGAAATATATTATGGAGAACTAGTTGTAGAATATTATTAAATAGTTTAAGTAGTATTATTTATCATGAAAAAAACGTGTCTGATACACTAAGTGAAAGAATTGGGTAGAATTTGCTGATACAGTGTAACATTAATGATATTTTAAAGTACGCTGAAAAAGACTGGAAAGAAATATATCAAAATATTTCCTCTTGTTTCTTAGAAAATAACTACTTTGATGCTACTACGTTATTATTTTGTTTTTGTTTTTTATCTTTATCTCCTTCCGGCAACCATACAATATGGCAACCAGTATTAAGTTGTACACTGTTTCCATAAAAACTATTTATGATTACTGTTTAAACAAATTAAACACAAAATTATCTTAACTAATGCTAACTGAAGCACATTAGGTTGCTTCCAGTATCTGTGACTATAAGCAACAGAGAATGAGCATTTCATGCAGAAGCCTATATACACTTCTTT